GACGCGACGAACAGAGAGAAAAGCGAGAAAGGAAGAAGAAGAAGAAAAGAAAACGAAAGCGTGTGCGAGAGAGCGAGAGAGAGAGAGAGAGAGAGAGGAATTAAATGGTCGGAGCATCGGCACGCTTTAGGGTCCTTAACCGTGTGCTGCTGTGCCGAAACGGTCAAAAGGGCCGCTACTCCGTTTTGAAATCGGTTGTTGGCAGCCTCGACACGCCCTAAACGATTCGTACTCGTGCGTGTGCGAGCGTGAAGCTCTCTCTCGCCGCGTTGCCCCGGTATCGGTTTGCAAACGAGCCCCAGCGAGCTTTGATTGCACTGCGAAACGAAAGAGAGAGAGAGAGAGAGAGACGCGGCGGTTACTTTGAGACTCGCGAGAAAACCAAAAGAGAATTCTGCATCTACAGGTTATGCGCAACGCAAAACTGCCCTGCTGCCTTCTTCTGTTTTCTTGTTCTTTTTCATTTTAATATCCTCGATATATACGGTGGCGATGGTCATCGACCTCTGCTTTACATTCGGTGTAAAATCCGTATAAATTCGCTGCTCTCAACGTCGGTGATCTCTCGCGGCGCTCGCGAGCGATTCGTTTAATACGCCACCGATCGCTCCGCACGGTGGAGAGGTTTCCTTTTTAATCAGAACGTGCGATAATTGGCAGATGTTGCGAAAGAATTTCGATACTGAGGGTTCGATTGGAATGCTGGAGGTTTTAATACGCGGATTCTGTTAATGTGTATTAGGTTGGCCAGAAAGTAACCGCGTTTTTTAACCTCTCGTGCAAATGAAAGGCGAAGTTTTCAATGCATCGACCATTTGATACATCGAGCATGTTGTAATCGCCATTACCTTTCGCCATCTTTCAAGCAACTGTGCGATTCCGCGTTCAGAAAAGTTCTTATCGTTTTTTGATAAAAAGAAATTTTAAGAACGTTGACGGTGAAATTTAGCGAAAATTCTGATTGATAGTGGATAATTTAACAAGCCAATTCTGACGCTGCTGTAATTTGTCAGATAATTTTTCATAAACTCGCACAGCCGAAAATAGTACAACAAAATACGACAAAAATGTTCCTTTTTGATCCATTTTGAAATCGTGCATCTTCCTTTCCTGAAAGAAGCTTCAACCATTCGGTATCATACTATATGACGAATTCGCGGTTTAAGATGAAGTTAGTTACATATACATATATGTCCATCTGTACAATTACTTTTCGATCAATACAATCTTTATGAGAAACTTTTTCGTGTTTACTTAGATGTGGAGAAATTTTGTATCTTTTCGTCTGTAGACAAAACATGTAGGTATTATTAATAATGAAGTTATTTGAATCTGTAGATGTAGATCAGCAATAAGCGACGATATTGGACGAAAAATAATTCTTTAAGATTGTATCGCAAGAAACATCGTAGTTAGTCAGTCTCGCGGGGAACAGATTACCAGCAACTGAATAAAAATCGGGAAAAATCTGCAAGGCTCATAAAGATTGAATTATTTTACACTATCTACACTGTATATAATTTTCTAAGAAATTACTATGCTTCTGACATTTCACTTCTTTCTACGCCGCCGTATTTTCGTTCGTCTTTAATCTACAGTGAAGTAGTGAAGTACGTATACCTAACGCAAACGATTTCTCAACGAAGCGACTTCACCACCGCTCACGCTCGGTTACGCATAAATTTCTTCTGTCTGATGTAACAGAAGTCGGGGGACCGTGATTACAAGATGATTACAACTCCGTGCCTCTCCCCGTCCTTGAACGAACACTCGGCGAACATCGTCTTCATTTTTTTCTTTTCCTTTCATTGTCGCAGGTTGTTCAACGCCTCTCACTACGGCAGCAGCAATCTGGCTTCGAATCTGACTTCCAGCAACTTGAATCTGGGCAGCCTGAGCGGCAGCGTCAGCCCCACAGCCTCGAACATGAGCGCGTGCATGGTCCAGGGCGCGTCTTCGGGGGTTCCGGCGGGGATAAACCACCACGTGACGCCTCACAGTCCCAGCGAGGCGAAGAGCGGCTACCCTTATTTAGGGGGAATCGAATCGCAGGTCTGCGGCAGAGTTCACTGAACCCTGCAAAATGGCGGAGAGGAAGAAACTTGAAATTAAACTTTTTAATTTCATTTGAGCACAGAAAGAAGAATTTTCTTGGAAGAGAGAGAGAGAGAATTTGTAAAATTTGTAAAATTGTAGAAATTTATCTGTTTGAGTTTCGGGGACGAAGACTCTCTTCTTTTGTCGGTTCAACGCTGTAAGAGATTAATGAGCTTTAAAAATGTGCGTTGACGTGACTGGCCATTTTTTCTGTGAAGTCGTAAGAATTTTCCCTCTTCGCAGGGAAGTGTCAGACCAGAGAAAAGGCTACTTTTAACACAGAGTGATATAAATATTAAATTCGTAGCACGTTGCTCCACCCGGGGAATCAAATTGCAATTCTGACCGTGAACCACGATACGCGAAACATGTATATATAAGTATAATGCTATTGCCGGTTTTTGTCGCCTTTTTCGTTTGTTTCTAGAGATTTTAAAGTCGAAGCCGAGTTAAAAGACTTGTCAAAAAACGACAAGATGTACATATTTATCGATATTACACGCGACACAGAGGATAGTCCTTGCAGCTGTTTTCATTGTTAGAAAGGAAACGCATTGAAATCACATTCTCGCGAAATGTGGTTTAAAATAATATTTAAATATTTAAAGATAACAAGCGTAACGTAAGATGTACTAACAATCGTGTGCCTTAACTTTTGTTTTCTGCGAGAGAATATTAGAGCGTACGTAGTTGTTTAATAAACAAGTTGTTAAGAAGTCGTAAAGTTTATTGGTAAGGTGCACGTACTATCCATTATCCTCTGCAGTTCAATTCGCTCTTCATTCCTCACTGTTCCAGGGACATCCATCGATCCAAGATACTAAATAAATCCTTGAAGAAATTTAAATGTAATCGAAGACCAAGAACGGAACTTTAGAAAATTAAGATCATAATTGAATAAAATTGAATAAAATTAATTTCCAGACCTTCCAGAATTTCCAACCTTTTTCACGAAAGAAAGAGTCGTCATTCACTCTGGTTTCCTTTTCTTAACGTGAAATTTACGAACTGATAATCCTTGTACATATATCGCCTGACGTAGAGATACATGTGACAATGACACAATGTCAATGAAATAAAGTAAGTTAACGAAATAAAGTAACGAAATAAACACATATTGACGAGGATAATTTTCAGGAAAGAGTTCATTCACTGCATTTACCATTTAATCGGCAGTACATTTAGTGTTTCTCCAAATTCAGTGTTTTCGTCATTTAATAAGAGTTCCGAATAAACGTAGATATAAATTTGAACAAACAACACCTGCTCTTTCGCCAAATACACAGTAAGATATAAAATTTTACGAGATTTTATTATAATATTTACAACTACTCAAGCCATGAATAAACTGCCTCGTTTGTAATCAAATGCCTTGCAACTGCCTGTCTTCTCTTGCAAATTAGAGCGATCGTCGAAGGGCTTGGTAAGAATAAAATCGACTTGTTTTGCATAGTATTCGTATGTATTTAATAAGAGGAAGTTGCAATGTCTGTTTAATTGGCCAGTTGACTGAAATTCCTCTGTGCAAGAACGATTCCATTCGATGCACACGATACTCTTGTAATTCGTTAATTATAATTGCCGATGTATGGTTCACTTTGTTGCGAAATAAACAAACATTTAAAAAGGAGCACGGAGTCACGGTGATTCTCTTTATTAATCTTCTTGGCTAATTGCAACAGAGAAATATACCATGTATATTTCTAGAACGACAAGTTTGTAAGTATATAAATCATCTTTGTTGATCAAAGTAAATACTCTAAAATTACTATCGTTTGTAATGATGATATGTTTCGTGTTGAAAGTTAAGTCTCGAACCCGAAGATTAAATATTAAATTACGTATTAAATTTTCACAGAAACTCGTGCAGTAGTTATTGAGCAACGTAAAAAACACTGATCAAAAACAAAAACTATATAACACACAAATTTAATTTTCATCGAGGCCAGTGTAAGCTACAAAAAGGACACG